TGTTTAGCTGAAACGTTCTCCAGAATTCATGTTGTCTACTATATGTAACTGATATTTTATGTAACTTTTTTGAATTTTGTTTTGTTTTTCAATCTGTGTGGCTGAAACGTTCTCCAGAATTCATGTTGTCTACTATATATATATATATATATAACTGATATTTTGATGATTGGATTTGTTCTCAAGGTTTATTATTCACATTGATTGACTTAATGTCAACGATTCATGAAATATTCTCCAAGGCAGTAATATAAAATTTGCAGTTGCACTTTAGCTCTCAGAAGAGAAAAAAACAAATTATATCATTCAAATTAAGAACTAAGATTTATTGAAATGAAATGGTTTACGTGTAATCAATTTACAACGTAAACTTACCACCAAAACAACAAATGTAGAATGTCCCCCTCCCCCTTTCCAATTTGACAGAATATCAAAGCATCCCTCAACGTAATGTTTCTATTCCACTTATGCCCCAATTGGAAGCATACCTCTTGAAAACATGCATTGACTTGTGCCCCAAACAACTAATCTTTCTGTTACACTTATGTTTATGTAATCACTAATCTGATTGAAATAGATGATTCTTAGGAGAGTTGAATTTCAGAGTGTGGCGATAGCGTTATTGGTAGAAATTCATTCCATTCACTACATATTATTAACCATCCAATGAAACTGTCATAAAGGCTAAATTTTTCTAATAGTTTGACAACTTCGTGATTCCGTATAATCTTGGGTGGTTTAAATTGACTAGCTGATGTTCCATTCTTAATGGCTAATTCTGATAACTGATCAAAAGCTCCAGGTCTTATGATGAATATCACTAAGTTCCCTAGTTGATCTTTATCCCTCTGCACCTTGTACATAGCTCCCAAGCCACTCTCGAGAGAGGAGATACAACTTCTAAAATTTTTAACTGATTCCTCCGGTTTACCCTCTAAAAAGTTAGATTCCTCTTGGACTTCCACAAATACAAAAATTCCTCCGGTTTACCCTCTAAAAAGTTAGATTCCTCTTGGACTTCCACAAATACCTTCAATTGCTTAGGCTTGACTCCTCGTCCAAGAAACTTGCAAACTCAACAATCTCAAAACTCATAGCACCTCTAAGTCAAGAGTCCCAAAAAAGTCATGTCACCTCTAAGTCAAGAGTCCCAAAAAAGTCATGTCGTCGACAGCAGGGTTCGAACCTGCGCGGGCGAAGCCCAACAGATTTCAAGTCTGTCTCCTTAACCACTCGGACATATCGACGCTTGTTGATAAAATTAGAATATAGTGTTTTTTATTTACTAAACAATGCATATTTCCACCTGCTTCAAACTATACCAGAAACACCTATAATTATAATATACATATATATATATAGATATATATATATATAAAATAAAATTAATTATTATAAATTTCAGTCAAATAACATAAAAATTATCTTGCATACGGTTTGATTCAAAATTTAGTGTTTATAGCCCATGTTGATGAGAAAATCAAATCTTGATATTTCAATACTATTACGTATGCATATGTAA